CCCGCTGTAAAGCAAAGAGCTCCCGACCATCCCTCGACGCTTGAATGGGACCTGGGTACACACTCCTTAAGGAACTACAACGAAATGAAGGCTTGACAGGCAGGGTTTGACGAAGCGAAGGCAAATTAGCAGGAATGGGAATTCTTGTGACAATTACAGGCTTCAGAGGAGCAAAGTAAACCATGAGCTTGTGCAAACTGTTCACAAACAGAGAGAAGAACTTGCAAAGCATCTGAAGTAAGTGCAAATAAAGCCAAATCCTCTGCAAAAAAAACATGAATTGGATTGTGGTTTGGTAGGATGAAAGAGTGTTAGGGGAGGGGCAATGGTCAGGATCCAGGCAGAGGATCAAGAAAAGTGATATACAAAAGTGGACTTAGAACAGAACCTTGAAACAAACCTCTATTCAACTCAAAAGCAGCTGAGAAAAAATTTGCAACAACTACTCTGGAAGAGCAAAATTCAATCAGAGACTTCAAAACAAAAACAAATGGCAACAGTACTTCCTTAGAAAGAAGCTCAGCCCAAAGAATTGCACGATCAGTGGTGTCATAAGCAGCTTGAATTTCTAAAAAACCAGTGAACCAAGGAACCTTGGCATTAGACACAACGGAGAATCATGCCTGAAGACCAAAAACACATTACATTCCTGAGCATCGTGACTGAAATCCAGCTTGGGCAGCATCAAGTGGGTGCTGAGATGAGATGCCCGATAAATTTTTGACACATCTTTATTCCGCTAACACACAAAAGAGTAATGGGGAGATAATTAGTAATTTCACCAAGCGTACCACCTTGCTTCCAAAAGTCCAAGATTCCATAAAGTGGGTGTAAGACTACTGCAAAAATGGACTGAGAAAGCTGCAAGAACAATTGAGCAAGAGAGTTGAAATTGGGCAATAAATGTTAAAGCCTAGCATATAGACCGTTTGCTATATGGGTTATCCTTTGGGTTGTCTTTTTTCTCTTTGATCTGAGAGTTTTTTTTGTCAATCCCTCTTCGTTCTTATTTATGTATTTCATGTATTTATTTCCATGTTTGGCAGTTGTGTGTAAAGTGATGGGAATGTGGTGTGGCTTGGTCCATTGAGTTGATGTGACCAATGTCTTTGACTACAGGTATGCCCACATGCACTGTTCACTTGAATATAGGAGTTGATGTGACCAGTTTCTTTGACCACAGCATTCCCTGATTGCCTGACTAGCTTGGGTCGTGTGTACAGCCCTGTCTGATTACTAGGCATATACACACACCTGGGAGAACAGGTACTGGGCCAAGAGACGGAACCTGGCGCTGTTGAGCTAGCTACAGTACAGCTAACAACGCCCTACCGCTGCCAGGAGAAGCCCCTTGGTTTTTAACCATAAAGCTCTGCAGGCAGACGATCATGACCCGGGGCAGACTCCAAAGGGCAGTCCGTAATAGCAAGAACAAAAGAGTCAACATCCATTGGCAGCTGAAAATCACACTCTGGAAGAACAAAAATCAATTAGAGACTTCAAAACAAAAACAAATGGCAACGGTACTCCCCTAGAAAGAAGCTCAGCCCAAAGAATTGCACGATTTGTGGTGTCATAAGCTGCTTGAATATCTAAAAACCAGCAACCCAAGGAACCTTGGCATTAGACGAACGGGAGATACATGCCTGAAGACCAAAAACACATTCCCGAGCGGTGTGACTGAAATCCTGCTTGGGCAGCATCAAGTGGGCGTTGAGACGTGATAGCAGAATAAAGATGTGGCAACAAAGCTCGCTCAAAAATTTTCGGGCAACACACGAAAGAGTAATGGGGCGATAATTAGTAATATCACCAAGCGTACCACGTTGCTTCCAAACTGGGTGCAAAAGCCCAAGATTCCATGAAGTGGGTGTAAGACTACTGCGAAAAATGGACTGAGAAAGTTGCAGGAACAATGGAGCAAGAATAGCTGAAATTGGGCGATAAAGTTCTGCAGGCAGACGATCATGACCCGGGGCAGACTCCAACGGGCAGTCCCTAATAGCTAGAACAAAAGCTTCAACATCCAATGGCAGCTGAAAATCACACAGAACAATTGGAGGTGAAACTGGGTCAGCAGCTTGAGCATTGTAGACACTAGCAAAATGATCAGAATATTTGGCTAAAGACTGAGGATCAAAATCTAAACCATTAGCTGAAGTACGAAAGTTAGCGCAGCGCCGAGCATGAGACACATGTTTCAGAAGAGAAGGCACTGATGAAGAACTAGGGTCATCAAAAAAATTTGCTTTTGTCTTACGCCTGTGTGATCTCAGAGCTGATTTGAATGCTTTGTGACTATCACGTTGGCGAGTTCTTAGAAAAGGAAGAAGAGGGTCAGAAGAATTGTGGTGAAAGAGGGAATAATAGTCACGGAATGCTGAACGAGCCATACTACGCAACAAAGCAATCTCAGGGGGCAGAGGAGTGGTCGCTGGTGCTCTACGACGAGGTGTTGGTGGTCCCAATGTCAGAACTGCTGTTGCCTCAACAAAATCAACTATAATTTGAAATGCGGAATCAATTGCTCCCTGGGCCACTGCAAGAGAAAGAGAAGTCCCCACAGGGACCTGAAGTGGTTCCAATGCTGCTGTTAGCGCCTCTGATGTTGGAGGAAGCAGAATCTTAGCAGTTTCTCTGTGCGACTTACGAATAACTTCATCCTTTAACAATCGGAGATTCCAAGAAGGTAGAGGAGGAGGCACAGTGGCCTGAGGATCTGGGCCAGCTAAAGAAAATGAACAGGTCACTGCAAAATGGTCTGAAGGATGGGGAGCCATAGACTGGGGTTGATCATGCACTAAATAAGAGGAAGCTGTCACATAAGTAGAAGCAAAAAACAAATCAATAATTGAACTCCCTAAGTGAGAACTGAAAAGTTGGGCGACGAGCTGAAGAAGAAGCTGGGACAACCAATGAAAGTGAGTGGGCTGTAAAAAAAGGAAGAAGTGCTCTGGCACGGGCATTAGTAACATGATCACCAGTGCTCTGAGTTCTAAAATTGAAGTCACCCATCAAAACTACTGGTGTATCCGAATTCGAAACAAATTGAGGAAAATCAGATAATGCACCCAAACAGTCTTCCGCAGTCCAACGTGGGGGAAAATAAAATCCACCAATCACGACCTGACGAAACCTAAACCACAAACCAAACCCAGAAGGAACTGATGCAATCAACCTAAATTGATAAGTACTGCAACGATGTGGGTTAATAAGAAGAGCAACACCAGATGCCAAAGGAGCGTCTGGTGGAGGACGAGAATCAAACAACAAATACTCATGAGAAAACACTGTCTAAAGTTAACTGATGAGTTTCTGTTAAAACTAAAAAATCAAGCTGATGAGTAACAAGCCAAGCAAGTAAATCTGAAAAATACAGAGGCAAACCTCTACAGTTGAAGGTTCCAGAACGAAAAGTCCACATTAATTGCGAGATGTAGGTTCAGAACGCGAAGAACGGGCTAAAGAAACAGTAGCTTCAAGTCTGCAGCAGGAAGATTAGAACGAAGATAATGAAAACCTGCAGGATCATGAGTAATTCGCAAGAGGTGAGCAAATCTTTTGTGAACAGCCTTTGCTACAGCAACTTGACGTTGCTCAAGTGATTGAACAGACCCAGAACGAAGCTGCCCAGGGTCAAAAAGATCAACGGGCACCTCATCACCTGGAAAAATGTCCTTGCGGAGCTTGTCAGCACAGTCAGAAGTGCAAATAAACTCAGCAGTGTTACGCCCAATAAAACTAATATGGCGAATGTCACGCGAAAATTGAGGGTTTCCAGAAATTCGATTAATCAGAGTGCGGAGCTGATTAAGTGGCTGATGACTAATTTCCTTAAACCTCACAGTAGCAAAACCAGCAGCACGATCACGAACAGGCTGAGGAGGATTGATCAAAATTGGTGACTCAGCCGGGTAATCAATCACCAATCTGGGTGGCCGTAGTGATCTGCGAGATAGGGGGTCCACTCCAGCAACCACTGAGCGATAAAGGGCAGGTTGAGCATCAGCTTCGGCAGCTTCAATACGAACAATAGCATTTGATGCACGAGAGGCAAATTTTGCAGTGCTGAAAGGCCCAGGATTGCGAGTAGCAGGGGCAGGTGGCGGTCGGCTAGCACTCGCAACTTGAGCTTAGGAAGGCACGGCAGAGACAGCAGCAGGAGGGCAGCTGATAGTTTCAACCAACGGAACTACAGCAATAGTCAATGCAGCAAAGAAGGCAGCCTCAGTCTCTGGTTCCAATACTGGGAGAAATTGCATTGCACGAGTGAAAGCAGACATCACTAATGGATGAGATCCAGAAGTTTGAGCAGGGGCCAGCATATGCAGAGCATCCAAGAATCGGTCACGAGGAGTAGGCAAGGGAGAGGTAGCATGATCAGCTGCAGAGGCATTCTTCTCGACCCTGGCACGAGAGGCAGGTCGGCGAGTCGGGGGTGATTTTGATGCTCGACGTTTCCCTTTGGGATCAGCATCAGCAAGGGTAAGTGACATTTCGACTGTATCATTCATGTGAACATCAACGACACTTGCGGGGGATCTTCCTCTAATTCGAGGCGGTTCTGAAGTGGATGACGCTTGGTCACGTGATCGGCGGTCACGTGATTTGCGAGGAGAATTCACTTCATCTGCCCACAGAAAATTTTCTCCATCAAAGTTGCTGGGCTGAGAGTCAGGAATGTTTTCCTGAGGGGCGCGAGGGTGGGACACAGAGGGAGCACGGGAGCGAGCACGGCCAGAAGCGATGAAAATTTTTGAGGGGGGTGCGGCGGGCGGCACGCTGGGAGGCGGCATTGATTTGTGAGAGAGAGAGAGAGAGAGAGAGAGAGAGAGAGAGAGAGAGGTTTTTTTTTGAACTTCATAATATGTATTTATTGTCCAACCAATACATATTACCCGCTGGTGCAAAATCCAAATTCAAGTGTAAAAATACACGTAAATTGGCAACACATTGGTAGTGGTGAAACACACTTTAAGTTTTTTTTTTCTATATGACATGTCAGTATGTCCGAGTGGTTAAGGAGTGTGACTCGAAATCACATGGGATTTTCCCACGTAGGTTCAAATCCTACTGCTGACGGAGTTTAATATATTGAGAGAACCTTGTTCATTTTACTGTAGAAACTTCTGAATTATCTCTTCTCAGACGAACGTGAGGATCTTATTCACTGAATCAAATTAGGAACTTCTGAATTATCAGTCCCTAGGAACTTCTGAATTATCAGTCCCCATTGCGAATTAATGCAGCAGCAGATGCCGTTTAACACAGTCGTTCCACAAGACTTCCTGCCCAACATGTTGAACAATACTCTGAGTGAATTGCCCTACTTTTAATTTCTAACGCTAAGGTTTCCCAAAGCAGCAATCAATGTTTTACAGCCTGAATTTTATAGGAGGTATTTTAACGAACGCGGTGTGCTACACCCGAAAATGTCGCGGTTTTTCAGTTTGGAGCGAAACGAAAGAAACAAAATATGGGCTTGTAGTTATAATATTATTCAAGCCATGTATGTTAGAAGTGACACATCATTTTCATTTCCTGACATACATTTGAATCCTTTTACTGACGGAGAGTTTACTGGAAATAGTTGCTGAGTGTAAAATTCGAAAATGTTGCTGCAGCAGGATTTACTGGGCATAATAAGTGTGAGGTTTATGACGTATGTTTGAACTCTTGTGGGAGTGGATGAGTGATAATGTTGTGATTGGGAGTTTGAAGAGACCAGTGGATATGCTCTTTGTGATTATGTATTTCCCAAGACCCACTTGCCTTTTAATAACTGAACACTGGAAAAAAACATTCAATCGATCCGAACTTCAAACAGAGACAAATAGCAAGCCAAATAAAGATCAAGACAAGCCAAAAGACGTTTCGCATGAAATTGTGGACATCAAACAAAGTTAGCCACAATAACATTACACCAGCCACTAATTTCTCCAACAATTCTGTGAGAAAATTTGTGGTTATATTTTTCAATCATAAAATTTGTATGGAGAATTGTTGTGTGGAGGATTGTCAGATCAACTAAAAATATAATTGCAGAAAATATTCCCTCTGCTTGGACGCAGCGGAGTTTGCTACAAAGTGTCTGGTAGCAGCACTACTGAATACAGTTGCAGGAACCTTTTGCAGAAAGTCTTCAAATTTATACTGGCTGGATCGACTTTCATATATTCAAATGGGAACAAGACATGACAGCCTCAATATTCTTGGCATTCTGTCAGTTGCATGAGCAGATGGTTTGGAAAGCACGAAGTCTTACCCCTTTGCATCAATCCTGCAGAATACTGGCCATTTTTTTGGCATCTTCTTGGAGCTCAAAATAACCAAACTAGTGGATTTTCTATCTCGAACATCCCTTGGATGCGAAACCAGATACAAATCCACAGACTGACGGAATGTTTCTGCGAGTGGCAAAAGGGCAGATCTGCCTTCACTTCACAAATTCATGGGTCAGATCAGACGAATGATGAGTGAATGACAACCACCCCACCAAGGAAACCCCACCAATTCTGGTGGCAGATCACATTAAGGAGACATTATTGGCCATGTTGACAAAGCTCCAAACTCTTGTCTAATTGGTGATGAGGAATCACGATTCGGGTCAAAAGATCAAAGGGTGTGCTCGATCAGCTAAAGCAAGGCTGAAATCTCTCGTGAAAGCTGGTGTCAATCCTGAAGATCTGTGATTGTGGAATATTGTGGTCAATCAGTGTAGTCGGAGTAGGGTATACTGTTAAATTCTGTGTACCCTTGGAGGGCTTACCCATTGTTTTGTGCAATAGGCTTTTTCTCTTGGGCTTGAGAAGTTTTTATGCTATTGCTCGATTTATGTTTTGGGCAGTCATGCTGTTTATTTTCTTTATTGTTATTGTTGAATATTCTTCTGTGTGGGAATATTTATTGCGGTGTGAGGGTGGCTGGTTCCTTGAGACAGTGGAACAAACCAAACACTCACACACCACAGGTATAAATAAAGGAGACAGTGGAACAAACCAAACACTCACACACCACAGTCTTCCTGGTTAGCAATCCCAGCCTTGATTTGTATTAGCCACAGAGTGCTTGTGTGCAACAAGGGAATTTGCTTTATCATCACCCCATATTCAACTGGGCCAAGAGACGGAACCTGGAGCTGTTGTGCTAGCTAAAGTACAGCTAAACACGCCCTACCGCTGCCAGGAGAAGCCCTTGGTTTTTAACATATACTCCGTTCAAAGGTGATTGAGTAGAGTCGATCCTGAGACACATACATGCCATTCAATCAGTGTTGCATACTCTTGTATAGCAGTATGGCTTGATTACTAAACTGCTGTTCCCAATAAGTAAATAATACTGTGATTGCTTAAATAGTGGTTCAATCAGACAATGGATTCTTTATTCCTAAATGGAACAAAGAATACCCATTGGACTGATGTAACGCATAAATAGAAGAAACGAAAGTACGTGTTTACACCATCGTAAATACTTATTACTCTTCCTGAGTAAACGATTGTTATCACCTCAACAATTATATCCTGCATAGAGAACTCCTGGACGCCTCCAGTCCATCTGTTATGTCGTGGTGTGTTATGTGTATGGTTGTTAAAGCTACTTTAGTAAAAGAGTCCTTTTACATTCATAATCCCACATGATGTTCACCACAATCGATTAAATAGGGCCGCTCTCGTGACCAGTGAGGGGTTTCCCAGAGAATAATCAATATGAAAAGTAGAACAAGAACAGTCTCAAACACATATATTTATTCTCTAGGAGGTTTATGCTCCCTGCCAGGATCGAACTGGCGACCTCAGGATTATGAGACCTACGCGCTACCGACTGCGCTAAGGAAGCTGAAATGATCACATGCCCATGTCTCTATGTGTCTACATTTGCGTGCTAGTTTGTCTGCTAGTTTTGATTTAGGCCCGCCTGACGATCCCCACCTACCTCTTGACATTGCAATTGATATGCTTTCACCACGGCCTTTTTATCCTTCGCCTGCCTTTTCCCAGTGGGTTCTTGTTCTTCGTGCACTTAACCGCATTTGGTCAAACTGTCTTGGTTATGAGTTAGTTTTGTCTCCAGCTCCTGATTGTATCTTGTCTGCTTTTGTTGATTTGGATATGCCTTAGTGTTTTGAAACATTTTACTTTTCCTACGGCTCGCACGGCTCCCCATGTGCTGCCAATTTACGTGTATTTTTACACTTGTATTTGGATTTTGCACCAGCGGGTGATATGTATTGGTTGGACAATAAATACATATTATGAAGTTCAAAAAAAAATTAAAAAAAATGAATCATTGTAAAAAAATAAAAGTAATAAAAAATAATTTTTCTCTTTTAGTGTATAATTACTAATTTGTATAAAGTTGTTTTTACTAAATTTCGGTACTATGGAGGTTCTCTCTGTTTGTGAACAGTTTGCCCAAGCTCGTGGTTTTTCTTTTGCTACTTTGAAGTCTGTAATTCTCACAAGAATTTCCCATTCCTGCTAATTAGCCTTTGCTTCTTCATAGTCAAACCCTGGCTGTCAAGCCTTCATTTTGTTATCTGGGTTGCTTTTTTGGAGATACTGGATTTGATGTTTCACTGACTGTTTCCCATTGATTTGCCAAAGCGCATGCAGCTTCTTTTGCTTTGAAAAGGAAACTTATTTTTTTGCTTTAGAGCCTGTTTCAAATGTGAAATAAATTGGTAAAATACACGTTGTTAGGGTTCAGCAGACCAATAAGAATTCGGAAAACGACACTCATCTATTTATTGAATGAATAAGTAGCTCCTGGAGGTCTTTACTACCTATTTATCAGCCAGAAACCGCCGTACACCCCAATGATGAATGCAGATGACGACCTGATGGAAGAGGGCACTGTTATCCAAGCAATGATTACAGTGTCCACTGCTGCAATTGTTACAACCTGTTAAAAACCAAGGGCTTCTCCTGGCAGCGGTAGGCCATGTTTAGCTGTACTTTAGCTAGCACAACGGCTCCAGGTTCCGTCTCTTGGCCCAGTTGAATATGGGATGATGATAAAGCAAATTCCCTTGTTGCACACAAGCACTCTGTAGCTAATACAAATCAAGGCTGGGATTGCTAACCAGGAAGACTGTGGTGTGTGAGTGTTTGGTTTGTTCCACTGTCTCCTTTATTTATACCTGTGGTGTGTGAGTGTTTGGTTTGTTCCACTGTCTCAAGGAACCAGCCACCCTCACACCGCAATAAATATTCCCACACAGAAGAATATTCAACAATAACAATAAAGAAAATAAACAGCATGACTGCCCAAAACATAAATCGAGCAATAGCATAAAAACTTCTCAAGCCCAAGAGAAAAAGCCTATTGCACAAAACAATGGGTAAGTTATCCAAGGATACACAGAATTAACACAACCCTGGAGGCACTTAACACCGCCCAGGTGTTTACAGGTTCACTTAAGTTGTCTTTTTTCTCTTGGATATGAGAGTTTTTTTGCCAATCCCTCTTCGTTCTTATCTATGGACTTGTTATTCATGTATTTATTTCCATGTTTGGCAGGTTCTGTGTGGATGGGTGTGGCATTTAGTGTAAGAGTTTGGTCAACACGTATCACCTGACAGAAATGATTATTACCTTTTTGGATAATGTTTCAACATTCGAAAACATCTTGTTGTACTTCGTGGTCTTTTGTTTTCTTACCGTTCTGCAATGTTTTCTTACTTGGAAATATTTGCTTTGAGAAATGTTTTAAGAATGTTTTACTTGATTACTTATTGTTTGTTTTCTTCCGCAATTTTTCCACTTCTTCTCTATTAGTTTGAATGTTTTCACTTGTTCTGTTAGTTTCTGTTATCTCAATAGTTACTGCGATATTTCTTCACAACTTACCTCCTTGAACCATCTTGACCCAAACACCAGTGCACCGATCTGTCCACTTGACAAAGTATCCCTTTCATTTGGTGGAATTTGGTGTGGCTTGGGCATTGGAGTTGATGTGACCAATATCTTTGACCACAGCATTCCCTCGTTGCCTGACCAGCTTGGATGTAGTGTACAGCCTGTCTGATTAATACGCATATACACACACCTGGGCGAACAGGTACTGGGCCAAGAGACAGAAC